ACACACACACACACACACACACACACACACACACACACACACACACAGAGTCCTCCAGGCTCCACGTGGAGTAATGAGATTAAGATGCTCTTCCCCCGTCTGGGGCCATCTGTCCTGCAGGACGCACTGGGTGAACTGGTCTCCTCTGGGAGAGATCATGTAGCACGTACTGTGTGTAGAAAACACACTTTTGATTGTTTTAGACTCTGATTTTACTGATGTTTTCACTATTTTTATGATGAATTATTCAAGTAAAACGTCCTCCGTTTGCAGAAGATGTGCTGCTTTTGTTGTGCGAGTCATTTTTAAAACTTCAACGTACGGAGCTAAGGAGTTTATAACCGGAATATCTCACCGTTAATATCCGTATATTAAACAAAAAGAGTAAACTATTGATCAAGAAACTGATTGGCAAGTAAATAAATTAAATTATCTCTCTGCCTCTCTATTCTCTCTCTCTCTCCCAGAATCCTACTGGTGTGTATACTGGTTTCATTCAGGTCCAGATGGATCTGAGGAGGCCGGTGACGGTGCGGGGGGGTCAGAGAGGAGCCGGTGGAGGCCGGGTGGAGGAGGCCTTTTATCTGCCCAGAGGAGTCACCAACACCCTCCACATCGGCTCCAATAACACAGTCAAACAGGTGGCTCACACACACACACACACACACACACACACACACACAGTCAGCACAACCTAATTAGGGTCTGATGACAGACGGGTTGATTTCAGACGCCGGCTGATGTTTTCTGACATGTTGATTAACTTAAACTGATTGAGTTCATCAGACTCAGAATATTTAGTTTCAGATTGGCTGCCAGGTGTCTGTTAATTAGAAATAAAATAATTTAACATAGCTAAGGTATAAAGTGTATATATAGTGCCTTTCAAACACAACACACATTGCTTGAAGGCAAAGAAAGGCATTTAAACAATAGAAACCATACGTAAGGCATCCAGTTACAGTGCTGAAATAAACTGACGTAGTTATTATCTTAAAGTTTAATCGCACCTCTAAATTATTGCTCAATGTACATTAGTATGCAGGTTGTTTACAGACCCTAAAAACCTCAATTTCAAGTTTTGTTTTGTTAAACCTAGAGGAAAAAATAACCTCAAATATTGTTTATTAAACGTAAAAAAGGATTGTCTCATTAGATAATGATTCAAAACAGTCAGAGGAGCACAAACAAAACCACAAATGAGAAATCTGTGAACTAAAAATAACTTTGGCAGAAAGTAGCGTTTTAATGTCGGAGACCATTGTTCATGAACATCGTTAATTGTTTGATCTCAGAGTAATATTACCCGTCAGCCTCCAACAGATCATGAGAGATAAAGAAATACATTATAAAAGTACAGTAGTAATCCTGTAAGCTTTGCTTTGTTTAACCATCAGCTAACGAGGTTCATTAGTGTTTTGATATTTGACTTATTCTGTGTGTGTGTGTGTGTGTGTGTGTGTGTGTGTGTGTGTGTGTGTGT